GAAACAATGAATCAAAGAGTTGGTTTTTTGAAAGAATAAATAAAATTGATAATCGCCTAGGAACCTTATTTTAAAAAGTGAAGAAAAAGCTCAAACTGATGCAGTAAGGAATGAAAACCGTAAAATCACTACAGACTCAATAGAAATACAGAAGATCATCAACACCTATATCAAAAACCTCTACTCTCAAAGGTTTGCTAACACAGAAGAAATAGGTTTCTCGAAGCATATGAAGTACCAAAGCTAGGTCAAGAAGATGTAAAACTGCTGAATAACCCAATTTCTATTAATGAAATGGACACTGTAATTAAGTCATTACCTACAAAGAAGAGCCCAAGCCCAGATGGATTCACTGCAGAATTCTACAAGAAATAAAAAGAGGACCTAATGCTGACACTCCTCAAATTCTTCAATGAAATTCAAAGGGAAGCAATCCTTCCCAAATCATTCCAGGAAGCAAATATTACTCTAGTAACAAAACCTGACAAAAACCCAACTGTAAAAGAGAAATACAGACCAATCTCCCTAATGAACACAGCTGCAAAGATCCTCAATAAAATATTGGCAAATAGAATGCAGCAAGTCATCAAGAAGTTTATACACCATGACCAAGTGGAATTCATCCCAGGTATGTAGGGATGGTTCAATATACGTAAATCAATAAATGTAATCCACCATATCAATAGAGTCAAACGTAAGAATCACATGATCATTTCTATAGATGTAGAAAAAGCTTTTGATATGGTACAACATTCATTTATGATAAGAATCTTGCAGAAAATTGGAATAGATGGTCTTTACCTCAACATAATAAAGTCCATCTATGACAAACCAACAGCCAGTATCATACTAAATGGCCAAAAATTGAAGGCTCTTACTTTAAAATCAAGCACAAGACAAGGATGTCCCCGGTCACCACTCCTATTTAATATAGTACTGGAAATACTAGCCAGAGCAATTAGACATGAAAGAAAATTAAAGGCGTAAGATAGAAAAAAAAGAAGTTAAATTATCACTATTTGCAGATGATACTCTACATAGAAGACCCCCAAAACTCAATTGAAAGAACCCTAGATATAATAAATAAATTCTGCAATGTGGCTGGATACAAAATCAATACTCAAAAATCAATAGCACGCCTATACACTAACCACAAAATCACGGAGAGAGAAAAAAAGAAGCCACACCCTTCACACTAGCAACCAAAAAAATGAAATATTTAGGAATTACTCTCACAAAAGAAGTAAAAGACCTATACAGGGAAAATTAAAATACACTGAAAAATGAAATTGAAGATGATCTCAGAAAATGGAAAGACATCCCTTGCTCATGGATAGGAAGAATAAATATTGTGAAAATGGCCATTCTCCCAAAACTGTTATACAGATTCAATGCAATCCCAATAAAAATACCATCAACATAACTCATAGACCTCGAGAAATCAATCCTAAAATTCATCTAGAGTGAGAAGAAACCTAGAATAGCAAGGAGAGTTTTAAGCAGCAAAGGCAAGCAGGAGGCATCACAATCCTTGACTTGAAGTTATACTACAAGGCAACTGTATTAAAATCAACATGGTACTGGAATCAAAACAGAGCCGAAGACCAATGGAATAGATTAGAAGATACAACCACAACTACAAACACACTCAACCACCTTATCTTTGATAAAGGGGCCAAACATGTTCACTGGAAGAATGACAGTCTCTTTAATAAATGGTGTTGGAAAAACTGGCTCTCCATACGCCGAAAACTAAAACTAGACCCATCCCTGTCACCATATACTAAAATAAAATCTATATGGATCAAAGATCTAAATATTAAAATAGAAACACTAAATCTGTTGGAAGACAAATTGGGTAAAAACATTGAAGACATAGGAGTAGGTAGAGAATTCATGAACAAGACTCAAACCGCATGGGAAATACTTCCCAGAGTCAATAACTGGGATCACATCTTATTAAAAAGTTTCTGCACATGGGGCTGGGGATTTAGCTCAGCAGCATAAGCGCCTGCCTTGCAAGCAGACAGTCATGAGTTCGATCCCTGGTACCGATAAAAAGGAAAAAGACAAAAAAAAAGTTTCTGCACATCGAAAGAAATCTCTAACATAGTGAAAAGAAAACCCACAAACTGGGAAAAAAATCCTAGTGCACTGCCCCTCAGACAAAGGACTTCTGTCTGAAACATACAAAGAATTAAAAAAAATCAGACACTCAAAATTCAAAGACCCCATCCAGAAATGGGCATCTGAGATGAATAAACAATTTTCAGATGAAGAAATACAAACGGCAAATAAATATATGAAAAAATGTTCAGCATCACCAGTCATTAGAGAAATGCAAATTAAAACCACACTGAGATTTCATCTCACTCCTGAAAGAATGGCCAAGATCAAGAAAACCAACAACAACAAATGCTGGAGAGGCTGTGGGGAAAAAGGAACTCTCCTGCACTGTTGGTGGGAGTGTAGACTGGTGCAACCACTGTAGAGGTCAGTCTGGAAATTTCTCAGAAAGCTGGGCCTGGAAGCACCATTTGACCCAGCTATTCCACTTCTAGGCATATTCCCAGAAGAACTGAAAGCATCATACCACAGTGATACACGTGCACCTATGTTTATAGCAGCACAATTTGTAATCGCCAGATCTTGGAAACAACCCAAGTGTCCATCAGCTGAGGTATGGATAAAAAAGTTGTGGTATTGTTATACAATGGAGTATTACTCGGCTATAAAGAATGATCACATTGCGACATTTATAAAGAAATGGACGCAGCTCGAGACCATATTCATAAGTGAAATAAATCAAACTCACATGTATAAATACCGAATAGTTTCCCTAGTATAAGAAACGATAAGAATACATGAAAGTACGTGGTAATCATGATTCCCAGTCACACTGGTTTGAAGCCATATAATGTTTTCACTCATTAATTGGAATGGTTTTAATCTGGGTTGTTTTATTTTATTGTCTGTGATACTACAAACAACTAGTTTGAAGAAAATAAGAGCGTAATAGCTAGCGCTGATTTACTATCATCCTGTTTTGAAGCCCCATCAAGTTGTTCATTTGTTTCCATTGGTTCTAACATGTTGTATCTTATCATATCTTAATGTATGCAATAGTATAAGCAAATTTTTTATAGACAAAGAGATAATATAGAAATTGATGTTCAGTTTCTGCTAGCTGGTTCTAAATACCCTGCAATAATTTCATTCTCTTGAATGGTTTCACACTGTCATGATAAGTTTGATGCTATAGTATACGAAGTTAGACTCAAATATTTCAAGGAAAGAGTCACTATGGTAACTACTATTAATGTCAGGCTATCTGGCGGTAAAACACAATGATGCTTAAATTTTTTTTTTTTTGGTCTTTTTCATTTTTATCGGTACCAGGGATCGAACTCACGACTGCCTGCTTGCAAGGCAGGCAATCATGCCGCTGAGCTAAATCCCCAGCCCCTTAAATTTTTCGGTTCTGACCGGTGTTGTTCTATTGATATGTTCTTTTTTATCTCAATCTCCCCCCCTTTTCTTTCCTTTTTTTAAAAATTAATTTATTTCTTAGTATCTTTTAACTAAGGGAAAACTAAATTAAAAATAGTGTGATATATTTTAGTAACTTTTTTGTTTCTCTATTAACCTGATTTGAACCCCTGTATTGTTCTCCACATCTTGTTCTGATTGATTTTATTATACTCTGTTTTGCTTAATAGTATCAAGTTAGATGGTATAGGCAACCATTTGGAAGGCAATCAGATATTCTATGATGCCCGTTATTGTTTGACTATTATCTTCTTTGGAAGTCCTGTAAGCTCTCCAATGTGGGTTTTATTGGTCTTCTGTACTGTTTTGTTCAATTCTTTTATACCAGCTGATACAGGCTACTCTTTTTAGGATAACAAGAGGCATAATGGTAACCATTGTTGATCACCTAGTAAACTTTTTTTTTTCATTATATACTATGTCCATCCTCCTGATCTAACTGACTCTGTTTTGCTTTGTCACATTGGGTTTTACTTTGGTCCATCTTGTTTTGTTTTGTTTTGTTTTGTTTTGTTTTGGCTTTTTAAAAATCTTTTTTCTTTTCCTCTTCAAAGAAAAAGTTATAAAAACTGTGGGAGTTATGGAAACCAAAATGTGTGATTGTTATCATAAAAAAGAGAGGTAGGAAAGTGATCTAAAGGATATAACTGCAAGTATATTTAAATGTGTAGGATCTAGACCCATATTCCTGAGTTTTTTGTGGATCATTGAACAGAACTGACTGCAATCTCACTGTATGAATGTCCACTTTGTATGCTTTAATTTTGTAATCTGGACAACTGTTTCTAAGATGACAATATGTGATCTATTAACTGGTGAATTCTTACTGTATATTTTTTCTCTTGAAATTCTGTATTACTTCTAGCCCTTTACTGTTTTGCTTCATTTAGTTTTGTTTTTCTCTTTAAATTAAAAAAAATCAAGCATAAGAAAAAAGGATGTCCCTTATAACTTCTCCTATTCAACACAGTACTGGAAACACTAGCCAGAGCAATTAGACAAGAGAGAAATAAAAGGGGTAAAGATACAAAAAGAGCAAGTTACATTATCATTATTTGAAGATGACATGAACCTCTACATAAAAGACCCACAAAACAGCATTGATAGACTCCTAGATATAATAAATTCAGCAATGTAGTTCAATACAAATACTCAAAAATTAATAGCATTCCTATAGACTAAGCACAAACTCACTGAGATAGAAATAAGAGAAGCCACACCAATCACTCTAGCATCCAAAAAAATGAAATATTTAGGAATTAATCTCACAAAAGAAGTAAAATATCTATACATGGAAAATTATAATACCCTGAAAAAGAAATCAAAGAAGATCTCAGAAAAAGGAAAGACATCCCTTGTTCATGGATAGAAAGAATAAATACTGTGAAAATGGCCATCCAAAACTGTTATATAGATTCAATGCAATCCCAATGAAAATGCCATCCACATACCTCATAAATCTTGAGAAATCACTACCAAAATTCATCTGGAACCATATGAGACCTAGAATAGCAAAGGCAATTATAAGCAGCAAAGGCAAGGCAGGAGGCATCACAATCCCCCACTTAAAGTTATACTACAAAGCTACTGTAATAAAATCAAAATGGTACTGGAATAAAAACAAATCTGAAGATCAATGGAATAGATTAAAAGAAACAACCACAACTACAAATACACTCAACCAACTTATCTTTGATAAAGCAGCCAAACATGTTCACTGAAAAAACCACAGCCTCTTTAATAAATACTGATGGAATCATCATGTACTAAACTAAAGTCTAAATGGATCAAAGATCTAAATATTAAAACAGAAACACTAAATCTGTTGGAAGACAAATTAGGTAAAAATCTTGAAAATATAGGGGTAGGTAGACAATTTATGAACAAAAATCAAACCACACAGGAAATCCTTCCCAGAATCAATAACTGGGATCACATCCTATTTAAAAGTTTCTCATATCAAAAGAAATCTACAGCATAGTGAAAGGAAAACCCACAAACTGGGAAAAAACCTTAGTGAACTGTCCCTCAGACAAAGGACTTCTGTCTAAAACATATAAAGAATTTTTAAAAATCAGACCCTGAAAATCAAAAGACCCAATCCAAAAATGGCCATCTGAGATGAATACACAGTTCTCAGACTGAGTGTTGTCAATGAAAAAACAAGAGTCAACACAAACTACAATAAAAGATTATTTGCAGAAATAAAAACAGAAAACAGGAGAAAAGAATCTGACATAAACATAAATAAGGCATCTAGAACGCCAATTAGTCATAAATAAAATAAATCTACACCCAAATGTAACAACCAGGATCCCAGAAATTCAGCACAAGAATAGACTATTAAAAGCTGTGAGAGAAAAAAACTATCAAAGAAAGTCCATCAGAATTATGATAAACTTCTCAATGCAAACCCTCAAATCAAGGAGATCTTGGAGTAAAGTATTTCAAGTCCTGAAAGAAAATAACTTCCAACCCAGATTGATGTACCATGCAAAACTACATTTTAAAATTAATGGATATGTAAAATGCTACCATGACAAAGAAAAACTGAAGAAATTTATGATCATGAAAACAAAACTACAAAGAGGACTGAAGAATATTCTAGACAGAGACAAAAATGACCATAATTCTGAGAAAAATAACAGAAAGAAACATCAGGTAAGGTAAGCAATAAACAGAAGGGAAAATTAGGGAACCAACAGAAGGAAAATAACATGACAAAGGTAAGCCAATATATATCAGTTATAACCATCAATGTAAATGGCCTCAATTCACCATTCAAGCCTTATAATGTTTTCATTCATTAGTTGGAATGGTTTCATTCTGTTTTGTTTGATTTTATGTGTGATGGTACGAACAGGTGTTCTGAAGAAAACAAGACATTATGGCATCCATTCCTGATTTAATATCATCTTGCTTTGAAGTCCTACCATGCTTTTATTCTTGTTTCCACTGGTTCTAGTATCTTGTATCTTATTAGATTTTAATATGTGTGATAGTATAAAAAAATTTTATGGAAAATGAGTTAATATAGTAGCCATTGTTCATTTCCTGTTATTTGGTTCTGAATGTCCTGTAATACTTTCATTCTCTTGAATGGTTTTATACTATTTTGTTATGTTTGTTACTGTTGTATGTGAAGGTATTCTCAACTATGTCAAAGAAAGAGACATTATGGTCGCTACTGTTAATATTGCGTTGCCTTGTGAAGTACTGTGTTGCTTACATTGTTCTGTTCTGATTTGCTTTGTTCTGTCCTCTTTTGTCTTAATCTCTTTAAAATAAAAAAATTTAAAAATTTTTATCTACTTGATGTATGCATATCACATTCAATTTGATTTTAATTTGTATTTCCTTAACTAACAAAAGGGTTAAAAATTACCTAGATAAAACTGTACCCAAAATAATTAAATTATACAGTCTGATCATTTAAAACCTCCCCCATAATATGATGATTATTTTAATGGGATCTTTGGGGGGGATACCAGGAATTGAACTTGAGACTTTGCACTTGGCAGGCACTTACACTACTGAGCTAAATCCCAAGCATTTTTTTTTTTTTTTGTCTTTTTCCTTTTTATCGGTACCGGGGTTCTGCCTGCTTGCAAGGCAGGCGCTTATGCCGCTGAGCTAAATCCCCAGCCCCAATCCCAAGCAATGTTAAGAGGATTATAAAATGATATTTAAACTTCAATGATCAGTTTTAAAAATCAGTTGTTATCATAGTTTATATATTACATGTGTTATACTCAATTTCTGCAGTTTGTTTTTAAGCCAGATGTGATGATCTCATCATAATATTATTCTTCCTCTTAGAAATGGTATGCTAATAGTGATTACCACCTGTGTTTAAAGAGTAGGCAAACATTTTAATAACTAGAAGTTATTTCCTTCAGTGTTGCTGGATACTCTGATTCTCAGAGTTACTCCTTACTAATAGCTAATACACCAGATTTTTCTCATTGATATTTTGATTTACCAAAGACTGCTTTTCATACCATATGAAGGGTACAGAGAGAGAGGGGGGCCATGTGAAAGTCTTTTCTGTTACTCTAAGTCATCTAGCTAAATGTGCTGGGGGTTTACAATAGATGTCCCTGGTTTTATTTCTTTAAAACATTAAAAGATGGATATAACATATACTATGGAATCAATTACATATATGTACATATGTAGTAGAGCAGTCATAGTGAGATGAAATTCCTGTGAGGTTTTGTGTGTAAGCTCCAATTTAAGTAGTTTCAAAAACAAAACAGGTGCCAGGCATGGTATGCTGCTGGATCAAGTATACAGTACTGGAATTGATTCATGATATGATGCTACTATTAAACCTGCCCAACCTGAGTGTGAGTGCTGCTCATCCTAAGGGCCGTAGGCCTAGGTAAGATATAAGGGACATTAAGAGGGTCTCTGCTTCTTGCTTGTCGCTTGCTCCTTGCTACTTCACTGCTTTGCCGTCTTGTGCCTACTACAAAATATTTCTTCTCCGTGATCCACATCTGCCATGCCACTCTACATTGAAGCCAGCTGATTGGTTGAAACCTCTACAAACTGTGAGCTAAATAAATCTTTTCCCCTTTAACTTTGGGTATTTTGTCTTAGTAACAAGAAAAGTAAGACAGAGCCCCTCAAAACAAATTATCCAGGGGCTGAGGATTTAGCTCAGCAGCACAAGTGCCTGCCTTGCAAGCAGGCAGTCGTGGGTTCAATCCCCAGTACAGATAAAAAAAAAAGAAAAGGACAAAAAAAATTTTTTTTAAAGTTTACTAAACAAATTATCCAAGCCAGGTGTGGTGATGCACTCCTGTAATCCCAGCACACAGGAGGCTGAGGCAGGAGGATTGTTGTGAGTTCGAGACCAACTTGGGCTACAAAGTGAGCCTAAGGCCAGGCTAACCACATAGTAAGACCTTGTCTCAAAAAATCAAAAAAAAAAAAATTATCCATCCCCCAAACTAGAGCTCCAAATAGCAGTAAGGATAAATCCTATAAATATAGTTGAGAGAAAAAACTTTCAAAGGTTTCAAAACTTTTCAAGGTTTCAAAACTTTCCAAGGTTTCAAAAGTTATAAAACAATACCTTACGTTGCTATAACTGGTTAAGAACAGCTTAAGAAATTGTTAAAAGAGAAACTGTGTTGTTTTGTATCCACACATGTATAGTAGTATTATAGTCAAAGTATAAAAATCTTCATAGGAGTTAAACTCCAAATTTAGGAGCTGAAAGAGGTAAAAGGAGTATGATTACTGAAGTGAACAAAGGGAAAATTCAGCTATATGGGTGATATTTAACTTCTTACACTGGATAGCAAACACAGGCATGTTATATAGTTCCCTATATGCTTTGTAGGCCTAAATTATTTCATTATAATTATTTTTAAAAGAAAAAACAGCCCATTTTAAGGAGAAAAAAATGGAAAAAAATATAGGGAATGTTCATAAATTAAAAGAAAAGTTACCACATTTGAAAAAATTCAGTAAATAAGAACAATGATAACTTCAAACGTAGAAATATCCAAGTTGCCCATTTCCACTATACCAGGACAATAAAAACATGCCTGTTTTGTTTAATAAATGGATAATTTGTAGCTATGGAAAACACCACTGTACTAGTTGCCTTGATGGTACCTACATAGTATTCCTAAATCACTTTAATTTTTCCTACCCATTTGCTTTTATTTAAAATCAGTCACCTCTACAATAAAAACAGAAGGGGAAGCACGGGCTTCTTAGTTATTTTATATGATGTATTCCTTTCTTTTAAAATGTTAAGCTTTTATAATGACAATCTTGCCATTTATCCTATTTTAAAAATAGGAGTGTCCAAGTTTTTTCATCAGGCAACTGTTTTTATATACACAAAGACTACGATCTCATATGAAACCGCTGGAGTAGGCAGGTATGTGTTTTTAAGCATAACTCTTCTTTTCATTTGACCATTCCTAAAACATTTGGAGTTGATACTAAGACATATTTTATTAGTAAAGTCAAAAAAGCACCAAACATTTGAACTAAGAAAGGTCAGTTTATTTTATTAGTCATTTTTTCTGATTCCCAGGCTAGTCACAGCATCTGTGCAAATAAACTGTCTTATGATAATACAGATACTTCAGGTTCCCACATCATAGAAGTCGAAAAAATTCAGGCAGGAGTCCAGAAGCTTCAAAAGAATTAATAGGGCAATGTTTCTAAATGGCATTAAGTAAAATCAGGTAAATGTGAGGGTATTATGAGGGACAATGCTTGAAAAATACTAATACCTGGCAAAGAAAACAGGGAGGGACAGGTTCCTCAGAAAGTGAGAAATATTCCTCAAGTATCTATGTACCTTTCTAACAGAGACTGAGCAATTTCAGGGCCGTGTAATTAACAGGAAAACAACATTTTTATTGTGTGCAAATTTTTTTTGCCTTGGACAAGGAAGCTATCATTATATCAGGAAGGTAGAGGGAAACAGGATTTAACTATCTGACATTACAAATGAGTCAGCTACCTTTTAA